GGTTGACCCTTTTCAGTTTTCTTCTTGACAGGGAAAAGGGGTGTATTACATGGTGACACGTACTTGATGAGGGCATCTTTTGCGAGGAGGCTATCCACTTGCTTGGTAATGGCAAGAGCTTGTGCAGGTTTCAATGGGTATTGAGGTCTCCGGGGAGGTGTTGCTCCTGGTAGGAGCGTGACCACAACGGGGGGAACTTTAAGGCGTCCAATGTCATCCAGACCAGTGGACCAAAGCTTTGTTGGGATCCGGTCTAGAGCACTGGGGGCATGTGGGACCCCTGAATCCCCTGTAGAAGTGGTGAGGTGTAACAGGATAGGGAGGGAGCAAAGTACCGAAGTATCCTTCTGTGATAAGGGTGTGGTTAACTGAACCTGGCCGTCTGCAGTAAAGGTTATAGAGGCTTGCAACCGGGAGAGGACATTAGCACCCAAAAGGTTAATGGGACAAGTGGAGGAAACGACAAACCGTGAGAGGATGTGTGACCCCACATGGAGGAGCTTAGTGAGTGGGTTACTACGGGGTGTACCATCAACCCCAACACAGGAGACATCGGTATCTGACAGGAAAGAAGGGTCAGGCAGGTCTTGTTCCCTGAGGACACTACGGGCTGCACCTGTGTCAATTAAAAAGGTAGTGGGGTGACCCTCTATGGGGAGAACAACAGTAGCTAAAGGCCCTCCACCCTCCCCTGCAGACACTGCCATGGCACAGGCTTGCCGGTTACCTATTGCAATAAGTCTAAATGAGCTTGGTCAGGCCCTATGTACCGGCGGGAGGAGGTGGTAGGGAGGCTAGGCTGCATGGCAGGGCGGCTCTGTCTAGGTACGGGTTGGTTCTCTTGGAAATCATCAGTGTCAAACCCATCAGCAGGAGCAGGAGGGTAAGCACGAACTTCTGGAGGTGGTGGCCGGGCTTGGGTATATTCAGGAGGCGGTGGAAACTGGGGCACTGGTGGGTGAGGCAGTGAGTGAAAATAGCCCGGGGAAGGATAGCCATAGCTGGCATCTTGGGGGTTAGTGTACCGAGGAAATAGTGGCCGGAACACTCTAGGATGTGGGCAGTCCCTCCGGAAATCACCGGCTTGGTTACAGTTATAACAGGTTCTGTTTGTCGTGAGTGTCCTGTCCCGAGAGGGGGCAGAGGGTGCAGGAGGTTGCTGTGGCTGTTGTATGTAACCTTGGGGAACATGGACAGGGCCGGGGACAGGTGCTGTTGTAGTAAACATCAGTGGACTAGCCGTCCTTTGTGTAGGTTGTAGTACTGACTCTAAACCTTTAGCTACCAACAAAAGTGTGTCAAGTGGAATAATTCTGTACTCAGGACGAGATAGGATTAACCCTTTACGAATGTGCTCCTTCAGGCCAGCCACAAAGGCTGCAGACAGCATCTGAGTGTGTGCTTTATTATAAGTACTGAACCCTAAGTCTGAGAAGGTTTGAGTTAATCTGGAATGGTATTTCTCGACTGACTCAAGTTTGTCCTGAACAATATCATTTATACAAGTAGTCTGATCAGCTAGCTTATCTTGTGCCCAAGCCCGGAGTTGCTCACAGAAGGTAATACCAGATCGGAAGTCAGTATCGGAGGTGAGTGGAGCATCATTAAAACTCCTTGCCATAATTGGCCAGTACGCATCCCCAGCTTTTATCTTGCACAGACTAAAGAGATCCCGCCATGCAGCAGAGTATGTTTTCCGAATCTGAGCCATTCTTCGGAAAAAGGGCATCGGATGTTTTTCTGGATCAGGGAGGGAGGTAACCAAGGTGGCGGCCTGGGAGGGGTTAAATGTGACATACATGGGTGGTGCACCGTCTGCTCCGGGAGTTACCTGAGTATAACCTCTGGGAATGGAATGTCGTGGGGGGAATCTACTTCCCCCGGGGTGAGGTGAACCTTGCTCCTCCATGTCAACCTCCCCGGGTGCAGCAGGGCCCCGGTGAGGGGTGACTTCGGGGGATACAGGGGCCGGGATGGCTGGGTGTCCGGTGATAGGTGACGTAGTTGGGTGGAACCCCGAAGCCTGGGGGGAAACACCCACCGCATAGGGTTGGTCCGATGTCACTGACTCATCGGACCCAACAACCATGATTGGGCAACTGGAACTCGTAGGGGGAGTGAAGGGGACAAATGCCATGTGGGTGGGTCGATGGTTGTAGTGGGAGGGAGAGTGGGAGTGGGAGAAGCTGGATCAGTAGGATGAGTTAAGGTTGAGAGAGTGGAGACTAAGGACGTGAGATCCTTGGGAAGGGAAGGAGGCGAAGCGTCTGCAGCTGTAGGAGAAGGGATAGGAGTGGAGGTGGCGGGGTTAGCATGTCCTAAGAGATTGGAGAGGAGGGAGGAGAGATCTGTAGGAGGAGAAGGAGAAGGAGAAGGAGGAGGAGGAGGAAGGAGATCGGCAGGTGTGGGAGGAGGAATAGGCGGGGTAGGAATGGTGGGATGGGTTGGGGACGTAAGAGCGGAGAGACGAGATGAGAAGTCAGTGGGTGGGAGAGGAGGAGGAGAAGAGTCTGTAGGTGCGGGGAAAGGGTTGGAGTCAAGAGGAGCTGGAACAGCGGGATGGGTTAGGGTTAAAAGGGCGGAGAGTAGGGATGACAGACCGGTGGAGGGGGGTGGATGAATAGGAGAAGGCATGGACAGGGTAGCTGAGACAGGGAAGGGAAGGGGAGGGGTAGGGACATCTGGAGGCAGGGTAGGAGCCGATGGGGCGGGATCCGGAATAGGGCGAACCGAGGTAGTAACAGGCGTAGGTGGGAGGGGTGGAGGACAAGGAGGTGGGGAAATATCAATGGGTGTGACAGAGGGAGGGGATAATGACAGGGTCTGGTCGGAGAGGGGCTGTGGCATGGGTGTAGGTGGCAAAGAATGAAGTGGCACCGGGTAGTAATAAGCACCATCGGCCCCGAGCACAGGGCACAAGGGGGTGGGAGCTGGAATCACACCTCCGGGGGGTGGAGTCTGGGTAGTGATGGGGGAAGCTGGGCGGGAATTAATTACCACGCTCTGGGCGCCATCATAGGGTGGTGGCTGGGAAGCAGTGGGGGATACATCGCCATTACAAACATTCCGATGATACACATGAACAATTTGCCCCTCAAAGTCCAATTCTTCCTCTATCCACCCTTCCCGTTTGAGACCCCTAGCTACTTGATACCATGCTTCTACGGCCTTTGTGAGCCCATTATCCAACAACAACCCCTCCTTATCTATGAGCAATTTCCTCCAAAACTCGGGCTCCCACTAGGCGACATTTGGAAACCACATACTTTGGCAATCTTTTTAATTTTCAACATTGCATCCTCCCCTGCCCTTTTTTTTACAATTTCACAAGCCAACAATCCCTTAGCAGGTCTAGCATGTTCCTGTCCCATCTTGATCAAGCAGAGTGAGCCACAGATATATAGAAAAGAAGAAAGAGGAATGTCTACAGTGCTCGACTGTCATGAGGACTTGAGTCCCGTGCGTCTTCCCCAAACGTAGACTAGTCACGAGGATCCGCCCACCCGAGATGGTGGCCACGAACCGGAGCGAGCGAGCGTGGGTGACTAACACAGCTCTGGGCAACAAACACAGGAGAGATAAAGGACAAATGAAAAGATGAATGTGGCAACACTAACCAGAAGGCATTTACAGAAATCACACACATAAAGATGAGTGTAAACCCCAGAATCCAGAACTAGCCACACAACACACACACACACACACCGAGGGTACCCACACTATAACAGCAGTTGAATAAAAACCACAAAATGACAGAGAGCAAAATAGCCATGTACATGTTAACACACACACACTGAACATTAAATTGCAACAGTCCCCAGCCCTCCCCACCACGCTGGTGCCCCGTAACGCGACCTTTAATGAAAACACAGAACTCCACCTCTCTATTAGGCGATACCCAGCCCTTACCAGCTGTAATGCGTCCCCTGCCCGCTAGGCAGTCAAGCTAAAACCCAGCCCTCACCGGCTGTAATGCATCCCCTGCCCGCTAGGCAGTCAAGCTAAAACCCAGCCCTCACCGGCTGTAATGCGTCCCCTGCCCGCTAGGCAGTCAAGCTAAAACCCAGCCCTCACCGGCTGTAATGCATCCCCTGCCCGCTAGGCAGTCAAGCTAAAACCCAGCCCTCACTGGCTGTAATGCGTCCCCTGCCCGCTAGGCAGTCAAGCTAAAACCCAGCCCTCACCGGCTGTAATGCGTCCCCTGCCCGCTAGGCAGTCAAGCTAATATTCTAAAAGGAACCGGTTGTCACACTCATTCACACAAACACAGGAGACAGATAGACAATCGACAGGTTCGTTCAAAAAGGCACACCGGATGAGCTAGTTACCTGTCTCTAGTAGCCTTCTGGAAGCCGAAAGTGGACTCGGAGACGGACCGACACAAAACAGGAGAATAACACAGGCAACGGCTGTATTATGGAGGTGATCAGGCTCTGCTTGTCCCACTTTCCGGAGGTCCGCTCCG